AATGTCTGTCCACCAAAAGCCATAGGCTTACATCTTACAGACAGTGCTTGGCCAACACAAAAACAGCTCCAAGAGGCACAAGAGCAAATGTTTATTCCCAGATTCATTAAGGTTTCCCACTAAACTGAATTTATCAGTAAGGATTCTTTTCTGCAAGGAGGATGAGACCTGTAGGGAGAACAACTAGAGCTCAAAGGAAAGATGTTGGAATTGGACAATGAAGGGGTGATTTTGTTTTAGGAAGAATAAAGAGCAGCCACATCTCCCTATCTCTGGTGAATGCTAGAGCCAGCAAGATCTGATTGTACACATTTCTCACCAATTCCCTATTCATTGAAATCATGTTGTTGGCTAGAAATCATCCATGGTATGATTATCTACATCTCCAAAATTGGTAAATGCTACAGATCCAAATTTTTTGGAGATCCAGTTGTTAAACATTTACCAGCATGCTGTTGTTCTGCTTGTGGGATCAATCACCCCAATTCAAGCCTAATCTATCTGTCCACTGTTCTCAAGATGATCTTAATACAACAAATCTGACATCATCTTCTAATTCCATTTTCTTTAATATACATTTCCAGCTTCTTGGAGTGGTACTGAAGGCGGTTCTTCCTCTGTCTCCCATCCAGCTTTTCAATCACTTCTATCGTTATTCTCCAATAGCCCTCAAATTCTAGTTATCCTCAATAATGAGGTATTTTTAAATAGATGACATCAAGCTCTACCTCTGGCATAGGGTTTTTTTAAAGAACCAACTCTCCTACTGTGAATAACTAGGAAAGCCAGACAAAATGAATTTCTAAAAGATCTGTTTAGAAGTTTCAGGGAATGGTCATGGCTATGAGGAACTGCAGGGGCCTGGGGAACTGGAGCTCAGTATTGGTCCCCTTTACTCCTGGAGATTTTTTCAGATTTCAAAAGGTTACAACTGGGATGAGTATTTAGTTCAGCAGTAGAGTGTATATTGTATATGTGTGAGGCTGTAGGTTTAATCTTCAACACCACCCCCTAAAGAATTCTGTAGCTGAGCTTTTGAGGACTCTTTGGTCTTGATTGTTGGTGGTGGGGGAATGTAAAATGTGTTTAACTTAGAAGGAGGAGCCTTGATAAATTCCACCCAGTTTGGGTTGAGACCCTGAGGGGTTAGGAGTGGATCCAAAATGGAGCAGCCCTCTCTGCCTCTGAACTATCTCAATACCTGTTTGGGTAAAGCTCACCTGGGTCTGCAGTGCTCCTGGCCCATCTGCCCAGAAAGAATAAAATAACTTGTCTCTGGGTAAAGACAACATCACTCAGAACCTTGAAAGATCTCTTCAGTTTTTGATAAACAGTGTTTAGGAGATCATAAGATTAATTGCATATTACATCAGTCAGCTTTGTGTTACTATAATGAAATAGTTGATACAGTTAGCTTATAGAAAGGAAAGGTTTCTTTTCCTTATGGCTTTGAGAGTTTCAGTCCAAGCCTGGGTGACCTCATTTGCTTTGGGCCTCTTAAGTGGGTAGCAGATAACAGTTTTGGAGAGTGTGTGGCAAAACCCACTCACTTAGCATTTCAGAATCAAAGAGAAAGAAACAGGAAGGGAAAAGGGTTGGGCCCCTACAATCCCCTTTGAAGGCATACTTCCACTGACCTAAGGATCTTCACTAGGCTCTACCTCTAAAGGTTTCACCACCTTCCACTGTCCCACCCCAACAAAGACACTAACACATGTGTCTTTGGTGAACATTTATCCCAGCAATATCTTATTTGCACGACAACCTGCGCATTAAAGAAAAAGAGACAATAGATGGAAATGCAGTGGGGATTCAAATAATGGAGTTATCAAGGGCAGTCTTTAAAAGACCTGTGCATAATATGCTCAAAGCTTTAAAAGACAAGAATAAAAGTTTTGGCAGAGAACAATAAAAAAGGAACAAAATGGAAATCCTAGAACTGAAAGACATAATTAGCTGAAATTGAGAAATAGTTAAAATTTATTGAACACTTCCTTTGTGGCCAGCACTATGGTTAACACTTTACAGGCATCAGCCATAGGACATCTGTGAAGTTGGTTTCCAGTTCCTGCTGTGAAGAAGGCTCAAAACCCCTCTGTCTATGTATGGTAGAGCTTTCCTTTTTATTTTGCTGTCTCCCTCCAGCTGTGTAATAACCACTCCTAAGTTGTGGACAGCTTGGTTCTGTTTCTATGCCTTGACAGAGTCCCTTTCAGAGGTCTTAGTAATTTCTGTTGTCAACAGTGTCTGGCAACATAGGGCTCAATATGTAGAAGGCAGTAGATAGTTGTGATGACCAGAAGCTTGGAGGAAGTCCCCAAGTACTGACTGGGAAGGCGGATTTTTCATTCAGGAAGCAGATTTGGGGGCTGACTACCCAAAACTGGGAATAAGTTTAGTCAGAGATATCCTGTGGGCAGAAATCACAGGGACATCAACTGTTTCTGTTCGATAACATGGAACCAAGAGTAGAATTGTAACAGGAAGTATGAGGAGAGGGAAAAAGCTTCCCCTTCGTCCTTTTGCCTGCCCCTCCTTTGGGTCTGGAACAGGAAAGGAGGTGGGTCAGTATACAGGGAAAGGAGCACGGATCAGTACACAGAAAAGAAATAGGGTAGTATGCAGAGCTGGGAGGCTGGGAGGACAGGGAAGGGTTGTAGATGTTGGGGCAGTGTGACTCATCTTTCCCACTTGGGGTAAAGAAGCATGTGCCATTGTTACTGTTTGAGTACTTCCCACAGGCCAGGGTCAAGGCTATATCATGTGCAGCATCTTATTTAATCCTTACGGCAACCCACAGTATGACTTTTGTTATTAGCCCCATCTAATGGGTAATGAAACTGAGACCCAGACAGGCTCCACACATTATCTGAGGTGGCTTAGCTCATAAATGACGCAAGAGGATTCAGCCCAGGTTGGCTCCAGAGAACTCCTCCTCACATTTCCAGAAAGGACATGCTGGAAGCTCGGAGCCAGAGTCTGTGGGAAAAGGACACAGACCTAAGAAGGTCCAGGAGACCAGGTTACTGTTCTGAAGATGAAATCTCTCCTTTCTCTTTTAACTTGAGTTGGGGTCAGAGAAACATTGACCCAGGGGCTGAAATGTAGATGCAACCATTGCTTGGTATGCTGTCAGAGGGTGGGGACCAGGGTAGAGCCCAAGCTTCTCATACTTGGAAGCCACTTCTTCAATCTTTCAGGGCACTTTTTGAAAGAATGCTGATTTTTTAATTCAAGAAGGTGGTAGAAGTATCATAAGAAAGATGAATAGGAGAGAACTATCACTGTTAGAGTCTAGTGGACTTGAGTGTGAGGGCAATGTTAAACACCTGATGACTAACAACTGTTTCAGAAAGTTTAAACCTTAACTCAACAGTTCTGGCAAATAACTAGGCAGGTTTATAGACATCACTTCCTTCAGCCACCACTTGTGAAAACAACTCAAACAAATGAATGAACAAGCAGAACACCCCTGTGGCCCTCAAGGGTGGCTGTCATTTCTGCACCATGTTTTAAATAGGTTGAGTGACTCACTTCATGTAGTGCAGCTTGTGAAGACAACACAGGGTATATGTGCCTTTTGGTCTGTCAAAGAGCGAGATTTTCAGAAACTTTTGCTCTGAAAGAGGAGCTCTTTAAAGACTTGGGGAATTCATTTGTATCTTCCTTGGTTGAAGAATTTAACCCTCATTTAAACATAGATCCTGATTTGTTGTTTGAAAATAAGTTAAATGCATCAAGATCGGCTTTTGTGGGTGAACAACCTGCGATGGGGGGTCAGAAGAGCAGAATTGCTCAGCATACTTTTGTCATTAGCAAACTCTGTGACAGGGCATGGGCAGATGCCATTCCTTACTGGGGCTCTTTAAAACAATGATAAGGTGGAATAAGACACAGTCCAGTTCTGAAATGCTAAAATTTGTGCTTCTGTGACTATATTCCCATCAAGTAGATTATGTAAGAAACTTTCCTTAGCTTTTACATATCCAGAAAATAGAAGCATATTTAGCTTTTCCTTAGCATGTATAGAATACTGAAAGGAAAGAAGTTAATGTTTGTTAGTGCTTATTATGTGCCAATAATTCCCTTTCTTCCTTATTTCCTTCCTTCCTTCCTCCCTCCCTCCTTCCTTCCTTCTTTCCTTCCTCCTATCTGTAAAGAGGACTTGATCTTCTTCATGCTGAGATTGAGAAGACAGACTAAATAAATGAAATGACTTCCTTGAAGTCCCAAGGATGGCAAATAGCAAGTGGTGGAATGAAATGTGGTTCCATTTCTGTCTAAGCACTGAGTTCATTCCATTTTTGTGAACCTATAACTTTAAAGAGGAGATAGTGGGAAGAGACTTGGTTGGATACACCTCTTGGGCAAAGAACTACTTTTTCACTAGAGCAGGGGTCAGCAGATTTGGGACAAAACCTGGCCTGACAAGTGCTTTGTACATAAAGTTGTACTGGAGAGCAGCTGGGCTTTCTGATCTACAGATTTTGGCTGCTTGCTCCCAATACAGCCCAATTAAGTAATTCCACTGCGGCCTGGATAGACCATGACGCCTAGAATATCTACTCTTTGGTCTTATACACAATGTCTGGCAATCCCCAGTCCAGAGTCCAGAATTCTGTTCATTCAAAGAACACGAAGTGACATGAAACTGTCTTTTGTGCTGGGAGCCCTGTCACTTGGCTTTGTAATGAAAGGGAGATATTTCTGATCAAACCTGCTTTCTAAAATAGTTGGACAAACCCTCTCAGGATACCTGTCAAGCTTATCAGAGAATTTAGTTTTCACTCCTCTCTTCTTCCCAGGAACTCAATGAAGGGGAAATAGAATCTCAATTTTGGGGAAATTGCACAGGGGGAAAAGGGGGAGGGGATTAGTTACGACATCCCATTGCGACACACAGCGGGGTTGAAAGTGACAACAGCAAGGGTTTCTCATTTTGGAAATGTGAGGGTATTTCCGCTTCAGGACAGGATGGCAGCAGCCCGACTTGGTGAGTGACTACTTTCTTTATAAGCAGCAACTCTGGGCCCGAAATGGCAGTCTCTACTGCCTTGCTACGGCCACAAGATGGAAATCTGCAAGGATTCCTTCAGCCTCCTATTCTCTCTCTTCTTCCTGTTCCATTCAGAGGCAGCCTGCCGCCCCTTTGGGAGAAGACCCTACAAGATGCAGTCTTTTAGGTAAGGCTCTCTCAAGGACACGGGGTTGACAGGACAGAGCCAAAGACACATACCAGCTCTTTAGAGCTGCTGGCTCTGCAGGGCTTAAAAACTAGGGTTAGGCTGGAAAGCAGTGTCCATTGTTCAAAAACAAGCTGCCATGGGCATAGTTTTTGCAGCTTGTGTTTGAAAAGACCCTTGATGTGAAAGTAAGGCCAGTACCAGACGGCTCACTTTCCCAGAGACTCAGACAAATGCCAAGGAACCATGCAGGGATTAAGGCCTGGCAAGAATGGGAGTACCTGGCAGGGTACTGCCCAAGGCCTAACTGCTGGCAACCCCTGTTTGCACTGAATCATTGGAGGCTTTCACTCTCCTAGGAACTCAGTTTCTCCATCTGTGATGCGGGTTTCTTGATGACTCCCTGTATACCTTACAGGGTTGTTGAGAAGATGATGTGTAAAGGTAATAGAGTAACTCTGTTCTGTGAACTATAGTGTGTCTGAAAAGAATGGTAATTTTAAAATTCAGGTCAGGGCCGTGGGAGGTATCATTATCACTGTAGTACAAATGTCAGGCTGTGATGCTGATAAACACAAGTGTGCTGTCTTTGCATGCCCTCTACCCTGGATCCCTCCTGGGAGTGAAGTCATCCTGGGTGACTTCTTCCTTGACTCCCATCCCCATATGTTTCTGGGGCCAGACTACAGTTCAGGCCTGAGTGTGTGTGTGTGCACACACAACCCAAGGCAAGTCTTTTCCTTCCCCGATTCGGGAGCTGTCTGCTTTGGGAGGTTTCCTTGAGCTCTGGGAGAAGTCCCTGCAGGCCTCCAGCAGGGATGTTAAATCTCTTCAGACAGACTCATCTGGAAACTAACCCTAATCACAGAAGGTCAATTACTCACACATGCAACAGCACTGTGCTTGCCCAGCGACCCCTCCCTGAGCTCATTGGCTGCTGGAAGCCTCCTGATGAGCCAGGTCTTGTTAGCTACACTTCGCAGGTGAGGAGGTGAGGCTCAGGTTCAATGTCATGCTGGCCAGAGCTCTGGTTACTGCATCTCATAGCTTCCAGCCCGGCTTTCAACCTGGTTCTCTGCCCAGGAGTCCTTTACAAAGAATAGAAGACTGGGAGCCACCACTGAGTCATTGGGTGAACTAGAAAATAAGCCAACAAGTTCTGGAGGGACAGTTGTCCTGGCAAGACCCACAGCAGGTCACCAGTGGATAGCAGAAATGTTTTAGTGACAGGCTCTCCTGGACCAAGGCTCAGAGTGTGTTAGATGCAAATTGTTCAGTCTCTTGAACTTCTGTGCTGTTGTAGCCACTAGTCTCAGGTGACTATTTAAATTTAGTTTTAAAAGAAAGTAGAAAAATTTTAAAGTTCAAATCCTCAGTGGCACCATCCACAATTTAGGAGCTGAATAGTCAACAATGAACAAGACTACATTGTGAAATTGCTGCAGCCCAAGAGGTTCTATGGAATGAATGCTTGACAGCAGTGGCAGTAAGCCTATGCAACAAGTGCTAGAGCAGGCTGTTTGTATCATTGAAAGGTCTAAAATGTTTGCTACCACCTCTCTAGAGCATGCTTTGCTAAAATGGGAGGTGCCTGGGCTGGGAGTCTGAGAGCAAGGTGAGGGGACAGGAAGCACGGAGTTGGGCCTGTCTCTTAACTAGTGTCAGCCTGAGTCTTCACATCCATGCTGTGGGTGTGCTGAATGCCATGCCCCAGATGAGCTTGACATAGATGAGGTGAGCTCTGGGGGACATGGCAGTGCTGAGTCCCATATGGGCACACAGCAGCAGTCCACTATAGCTGGGTCCCTTTGCTTTTCAGAATCTGGGATATTAACCAGAAGACATTCTACCTGAGGAACAATCAACTCGTCGCTGGATACTTGCAAGTGCCAAATACCAAATTAGAAGGTGAGTGATTCCCAGGAAAGCTGGTGCTATGTGTGCATCAGGTCACTTGGCCCCTGGATTCTGCAGCATTTCTATCGGCCCTGCAACCTTCTTAATCCTTGCCAAGATTCAAGCTGGGGAGACTTAGGAGAAGTGAGCACCAGAGGGTGCATATAAGTGCAGCCTCCAGAGGGTGGGAGAGGTAGAGTCTGGGTCAAGGGCCACTGTCTATATACACAGTAACCTAGGACCACAGCTGGGAGGAACAGGGACTAGAAGACAAGACCAACCCTGCCCCCCTTGTACCAATTCCTTTGTCATTCAAATCCTAGCATCTCCCCAGATGAATACACCGATAAGCACCACACACATCCTGTGCTGGTTCACACTTCAGGCACACTGCTGAGTGAACTTGAACAAGCTTCACCCACTGTGTTCCTCAGTTTTCCCTCTAGTAAGATGAGTGCTGCTGGATTTGAAATTCAGCACTGGTATTTTTAATGTTTTCCATCCCTAAATTTTTACTGGCACACAAGGGCATGGGAAATATGTTTCCGTGTCCCCAGGATTCCCTGGAGTCCCACTCATGACCACAGCAATGCACCTGTGACCCAGAGTACAGATATTACAAGGAAAGTGGGAGAGGACAGAAATTATGTGGAGCAGAATCTAGGAGACACAGTCCTTCAGGAGTCACTAAGTAGTGTGGCTGGTTTGATCTGTTTGATTGCAGACCAGGAAGAGGAAGCCTTGTTGTCATTCTGGCTTTAGGGTTTTAGTTGTGGGGAGGAGAGAAAAAATACCCAAGATCTCTTTCCCATCTCTGCCTCCTTTCTCCCCCCACTCTCTCTCTGACTCTCCCTTCTCCTCTTCCCCAGAAAAGATAGACATGGTGCCCATTGACCCTCATACTGTGTTCTTGGGGATCCACAAGGGGAAGCTGTGCCTGTCTTGTGTCAAGTCTGGTGATGACATCAGTCTCCAGTTGGAGGTAAGGGTGTGTTTCGGACAACGAATCAGTCTACAACCCAGTGGCTTCAAATAAGTGTCATATGTTCTAATCCTGTGGGTAGATTGGGATCAACTGGATAGCTCTATTGCACGGGAAGGAACATGCTGGGTAACTCCTGCCACTACATTCCAGTAGCGTTTGTGCTGCTGGCTCTGGATGTCCTAAAGTTGTTTTTCATCCTTCAGCCTCTTTTTCATATGGTCACTCAACATTCAGTAGTTAGCTCAAGCTTCCTTACAGCCAGCATGATGGCTGGATTTTATGAAGGATCATTCCTAAGGGACATGCCTGCATGGGGAAGTGCTTAGCAAACTTCTGGTCCTATTGGCCAAAGCTTTTCATGTGACTAAGTCTGTACTCTGTATGGAAGGAGACTTCACAAGGGTATAAATACTTGCAGGAGGTAGAGGTCACTGGAAAACATCACTGTGACCATCTGTCACAGGACCTGAGCCACAGTGAACCACAAACCACTCAGTCCCTCTTCTAGAAAGGCCAACCCTGGGAGCTTCCATTTCTAGTCCTTATCCCTCTAGCTTGGCAAGGTGGCCTTCCATCCAGATCCTTGTTCCTCCCCATTCCTTGCAATAGCAGTGGGTTGTTTAGTCCCAAGAAAAAGTGGCTCTGTCTCAGGGGCTCATGGGGCAAGGCTGTCACCCAGATGTGAACAGCCAGAACCATGGAGCTGTCGTTTCCTTCCACCAGTAGATGTGGATACTCTTTTGGAGAGAGAGTACATGTTCTGTGCTGAGGGATGGCCAGATTATTGCATGTAACATAGTGATGAACTTCTAGACTCTCTGTTACCCTTCTCCACCATCCCGTGTCCTCAGAGGCTCAGACGCTGACAGCACCAGCCTCATGGACCTTGGCCTCTGCTGATGAGTCCAGGTGTTTACCAGACTTACTACTGCATGGTCGATACAGCAAGATTTCCAAAGTCAAGTTTGGACAATGGGACACTCCTTTGTACCGCTGCTGTCCTAGGGGACCTGGGATCCATGGTTTCTAGTAGCTCTCCAGGCCACCATTTGTTCAGCAATTTGGGCCAGAAGACAGGATGGTAAAGGGGGAGAGGTGAGCAGTACAGGACTTCCCAGGCTCACCCCCTCTGGTCCATCTCTTGCCTTTCAGACAGTTAACATCACAGAACTGAGCAAGAACAAGGAGCAGAACAAGCGCTTCACCTTCATCCGCTCAAACAGTGGCCCCATCACCAGTTTCCAGTCGGCCGCCTGCCCGGGCTGGTTTCTCTGTACAGTGGTGGAAGCTGACCAACCTGTCCGCTTTACCAACAACCTGGAAGACTCTGACATGGTCACCAAGTTCTACTTCCAAGAGGACCAGTAGTACTGCCCAGACCTGCCCTTCCCTACTCCCCAGCCATCAGTGGCCTTTCCACCTCTGCTCAAGTGGCTCCTGGCTGTCACAGAGAATCAGGGAGCAACTTTTGCAGGTGGACTTTGGAAAGAGGCCTGAAAACCCTGCTGACAGGAGTCTTCCTCCAGCCTCTCACTGACAGCCTCCATGCTGCCTCCAGAAAGGTCTTTATTACAATGTGCATATAGCCCCAGCTCAAAGCTCTTACATGTTGCCTCTGCCCTGTGAGCGAAATCCAGACTGCTGCCCAGCCTGAGTTACTCCTGCCACTGCATCCCACAGTACGCCTGCTGGTTCTAGGTGTCTGTTCCTCTCTTCCCACCTCCCCCTCCTCCCTTGCCCCACTGTCCATTGCCCACATCCACTGGGTCACTAGCTGACCCTGCTAAGTGACTCCCATACAAGGGAGTATTACCAGCCAGTGCTGGTCCATGGGGAGGTTTGTTATTGCTTTTGTTGTAGGTGCTGGGGATTGAACCCAGGGCCTCATGCATGTTAAGTATGCATGCATTCTACTGCTGAGCTGCACCCCCAGCTCACAGAGACATTTTTAAGGATCTGTGAAAATGGAAAGTAAGGAGTTTATGGTTATTTTAAAGCCAGCTTTATTCAATGTGAAAAGAATCCTTCATTTGGAGGTTTTGTTCTTTCTGAGAGGAGCCGGAGGATTAAAATGTTCTTCCTTTGTGAAATGATGGTAGAAACAGAAAAGTAGGTGATTTTTTTTTCTTTTTTGGTAGCATCCCAAACTGTAAAAATTACAAGTTAGTGGAGTACATTGCACCCCTAGTGTATTTTTACTTTTTGAAACATTTCCATAATTGGGCCTCTCTCGCAGGGCCCCAAACATCATCTCCGCGCCAGATCTTCTGCAGCTGCCTACAGTAAATTCCATCCTGTGGAAAGTTCCCCAACTCCACAATGTGCAAATGTTACTCCTGGGGGTACTTCCTGTGCATCCAAAGAGGGAAGAACCTAAGAATTGCTCCTTGGCCATTTGGCCCTTTTGGCACTGAGATTTCCAAGAAAGATGGCTACACATCTGTCTGTCTCCCACCAGACTGGGAGCTCCTGAGAACAGAAAGCATGATTATATGTGTCTTGGATCCCTGTGGGATGGAACTGGCCTGGCCCTTGATAGGTACTCAGTAAATAAGTGTTGTATGTGTTGGGTGGAAATTTTCTTACTTCCTATGACTTTAGCTCTGTTTTACAGTAAAACCTTGAAAATGCCTACTTTGTTGGCTGTGTGCTTGGCTGTGATAGGCTCCAGGTATAGAGCACTGTGGGAAAGAGAGACCAGAGGTTCTTTTCACTCTAGGGGCCTCTGAAAGCCCATTCCTCCTTGCTCCTCACCCTCCTTGGATAACTTGAGAAAAAATGTCTCTGCCTATAAGGGTAAAACAGCATTGTTCAAAAAGAGCCCAAGCTGGGAACACCCAAACACCCATCATGGAAAGAATGAGCATGTAATTCTGAGCTGCATATAATGTGATGTTCCATGACCAAGAAAACCAATGAACTGCAGCCACCTGTGCCCAACACAACAGGTGAATGTTACAACATGCTGGGTCATAAGAGTCACCAAAGCTCAGGCACTTCACACAATTCAAGTTAAGCAGCAGCTTACAGATCAGTTATAGGCAGGGCAGCAACACAGGCACTTGGCAGTTCTGGAGTTCTCCAGTCACTGCCTGGTTCTCCTGCTGGGTTTGTGTAAGCATGGATGAGCTAGTTAACATCGTGGAGACTTGGTTTTCTCATCTCTAAAATGCAGATGGTGGTTAATGTAGAGGGCAGAGTTACCTCCTGCAATCTTGGCAATAGCCCTCTGCAGTAAGCAGTAGTATTACTACTATTGCTAGTCCTGGAAGAATCAGTGCACAAAGGAATCTGCTTAAATTCTCATTGCTCCAAAATGTAATCTATGGGTCAGCGGCCTAGCGTTGCTCGAGTTAAAATGAAAACTGCCAGGCCTCACACCAGACTCTTGGGTTTAGGATCTTCTTCTTAACCTGACCTCACAGGTTCACAGAGGTGAAAGTTTGAGAAGTGTTGCTTTAAAATGTGGTTTTTGCAGTGCATAAACTCTGGTATCTTTATCAAACTGTCTCTAAAAATTCACAATTCACATCCCTACATAATTGACCATACCTGAAACTACCCCTTACTTCCTTACTTAGACTTCAAAATGTGCTGTAAGATACCCCAAAGGGAAATGTTGGGTCTATCATCATCCTACCAAAATATCAGCCCAACACATAGAAGGATTTCCATCTGCTTCGTTTTCTGTATATCCCAAATACCCAGATCAGTTCTTGGCATATATGCAATGGCTACTTGAAGAACCATGAATTGGCCACTAATATACCAATAGGAATTAATGTATTTGATATATTGGCCATAAATCTGAGAAGACTGGGAACAGAAACCAGGGAAGATCTGACAGGTGGATGAGAAAGGAAAGGAAGAGCCGGGGATTTGGAGGCTAGGCAAGGAAAAAAAATGACCACCAGGTGGCAGTAGAACTCATTAGCTCTTCCCGGCTATGTATGCTCTGAGAGGCCCGTATTGCTGTCCCTCTGGGCAGGAGTCTGTGCAGAGACTAGGAAAGAGGTGGGAACTTACTCAGTAGGGGGAGTAGGGGGTGGGCAAGGCAGTTTCCAGGGGAGAGGGCCATGGAGAGGATCTTTACATGTTTTGATGATGTCATTCAGCAGCAAGGTTCAGAATGGGCCTTATCTTTGGCTAGCAGGTACAGGGGATATGAATATCGGGTACAGTTTTATGGGACTCTAAATGGCCAAAGATCTGATTATCATGGATATATTTAGAATAACTGGATATGCAAACTGGAGTTTGTCACTGGTTGGAATTTGCAGCTAGCTAGTGATTCTGGTCTCAGCCTCAGCAAACAAATTGGCCCCAATATACAGAGGCTGCCTGTGGCTCATTTATATGACACCAGGTGTGAGACATGGCTCAGGAAATCAGGCCCAAGCAGCATGCTCAAGAGGCAGCGCAAGGGCAACTGTGAGCCAGGGGACACGGGTAGGAACAGGGACACTGAGAGGGAACCTGGATAAACAGCTTTGAGGAATGTGGCCTCTTCTGTTACGTCTGGGTCTGCCCAACTATAGCACTACAAGGTCACAGAACTGCTAATTCACAAGTTCAAAATGGAATCCAAGACCTTCAGTTTTTCACAGTCTAGTCAGTTTTGCTGCTAACTAGCTGGGTGTTCTTGATCAAGCAGCCTCCCCTTCCAGACTTCAATTTCTTCCCTCATAAAGACAGGATTGGATTAGGTCTGTGTACTCAGCAGGTCCCCTGTAGAACCTTTGCAAATGAGGCCAATTCCCAGGCCAGGGATTTAGCTCAGTGGTTCTATCACCAGCCTCACAAGTGCAAGGTCCTGAGTTCAATCGCCAGTACTAAATAAAAATCAAACAAACAAAATGATGCCAATTCTGGACCTCACCCTCTCCACAAAGAGTCTGATTCACTTGGTCTGTAGGTAGCCTGGGATGGGACAAGGACTCAGAATGCCAGGGCTGAGACCTTCTGGGGCCCAAAGGTTAAGACCTCCCAGCTGTTCCTGCTTGGCAGCATCTGTTAATGCAAAGAAAGGAGTTGGCCTTTTACTTCAGGAGTGGGCTTGTTGCTGGGTCCATACCCCATTTCCACTACATGTTCACCTGGGTTAAAGAGTTTCTACTTTCTCACTCACATGGCTAGCTAATGCTGCGAGCTTCTCTCCCCCTCCCCTCTTTCTTTCCTTCTTTCTTTCTTTCTTTCTTTCTTTCTTTCTTTCTTTCTTTCTTTCTTTCTTTCTTTCTTTCTTTCTTTCTTTCTTTCTTTCTTTCTTTCTTTCTCACCTACACTGCTGGGATATGATATTTACAAATCTTGGGAAAACCAAATAATTCTGTTTTCCCTTTGTTTAACTATGACATTTCTAAGCCACTGCAGCAAATGTCAACAAATTTGGTATTAAACCCTGTTCTCTCACACAAGTTTTGGAGAACTAGTAAAATAGATTTGGGGGTTCTTAGCTTCAAACTTAAGAAAGTTTAAATAGAAGAATCCCAAAGTTTTTGAAGGAAGTTGTATCTAAAGCAAGGGGGGCAAGGAAGGAAGTTCAAGAAATGTCCACCAGAGGGAAGCCTTTCATAGGTGCGTGATTGCCTGCTCGGGAAAGAACCCTCAGGAGACTAAAACAGAAATTGTTTCAGTTCCTGCACCATTTGGTGAAGGTTTAGCTTTTCAAAGACTCTGTAAGAAACAAAAAGGTGTTTTCACTGTATGGGAAGTTTTTCCCTCATTTATATACAGTTCTTTTTGGATAGTTCATTCATATAGTGCATGTACTTAAAAAAAAGTACAAGTATGTACAATAAATGTCTATTCTCCAAAGACGAAACCTAAGAAGTTCTAAGGGACTTGTGGACCTGCTTTATAGTCTACTCCCTGTGCTCTTGTTTCTTTCCAAGGGCCTCTTACCTAAATGGTTTACCAATGTGTGGAATAATCCTACCCTGTCCATCCCCAGGATTTATGCCCATTGCGCCACAACTAAACAAATCCCTCAGCATGCCTGTGAGCAAGATGTGCACTTTTTAATATTAGTAGATGATTGACAGAGTTCACAAAAGACAGATAGGCAATCACAAAAGGCAGACATGCATCAGTGAAGAGTAGATCTGTTCCAGAGCAACCATGATTGATTCGTTTCTTGGGGACAGTTGACAAGATTAAGAACAGAGGAATAATATTAGTCCTTGTGATCTCAAGCCATCCCACCTTGATACAGCACCTCCACTCCAAGGGGCTCCCTGGAAAGAGTCAGGCATGTCTGTGTCCTAGAGCCAAGGCACATCTTTCTTGGCCAAGGTGGAGTCATACTCGTACCCTCTCCTTCTCTCCTTGGCAGTATTTCCTATGTCATGGAAGTTTCCATTCCTTCCAAGACAGGCCTATGGCTGGAACATGAGTTTTAGGGGGAAACAGGAGGGGCTGGATTCTCCTGCTAGACAATGGTAAGAGCTATAGTCTGTTCTGAGTGGGCCTTGGAAACTGCACATTTGAGTGCCTTTCTCATCGTGTGCACCACCTAATTCCTATAAAAATCTCTTCTAGTCCAAGATTCTTGGGCAAGTGTTTTCTTGAAGATATTGAGGACCATCCATGCCAACTCAATAATCCACTCTGCTAACTCCTTGAGGGCCAGTGGCCCAGACCCCTAAAATGCATTGGCACTGTTGAAGTCTTTCCAGGTGAACATGTTTTCACCTTCTCCTGAGCACCTTCAGGTAGGGACTGAGAATTTTACTTTTTGCAAGTTCCAGAGCACAAGGCCACTGCTCTGAAACTAAAACATATTGGAATTATATTCTGGTTATATGAATTTCACATGCACTTCCCATTTACTCTTTTTTCTGAGAAAAGAGACTTGTTTCCTCTTGTGCATGTAGTTCTCTGCACACACGACACCTTATTGGGGAAGTGTTAT